TAGAGACGGGGTTTCACCATGTTGACCAGGATGGTCTCGATCTCTTGACCTCGTGATCCACCCGCCTCGGCCTCCCACAGTGCTGGGATTACAGGCTTGAGCCACCGCGCCCGGCCCTAATCCATCTTGAGTTAATTTTTATATATGGTGAGAGACAGGGATCCAGTTTCATTCTTCTTCTACACATGGCTATTCACTTTTCCCAACATCATTTATTGAATAGGGTGTTCTTTGCCCAGTTTGTGTCTTTGTACACTTTGTGAAAGGTCAGTTGGTTATACATATTTGGCTTTATTTCTAGGTTCTGTATTCTGTTCCACTGGTCTATGTATCTGCTTTTATACCAGTACCATGCTGTTTTGGCTGCTTTAGGCTTGTCGTATGTTTTGAAATCTGGTATTGTGATGCCTCTGGCTTCATTCTTTTTGCTTGGGATTGCTTTGGCTATTCAGGCTCTTTTTTTATTCCCTGTGAATTTTAGAAGTACTTTCTCTAATTTTATGAAGAATAACAGTAGTATTTTGATAGGAATTGCATTGAATCTGTAGATTGCTTTAGTTAATATGGTCATTTTCAATATATTGATTCTTCTATGAACATAGGGCATATTTCCATTTGTTTGTGTCATCTATAATTTCCTTTTTTCCTATGAAAGAGCTCTTCAGCAGTGCTTTCTAGTTCTCCTTTTAGAGATCTTTCATCTCCTTTTAGAGATCTTTCATCTTGGTTACCAAGGAGGTTAAAGATCTCTAAACGGTTAAGTTTTTGTTGTTGCCGCCACTGTCGTAAAAGCGATTAGGTTCTTGATTTGATTCTCACCTTGGCCATTCTTGATGTCTACTAGGGCTACTGATTTATGTACATTGATTTTATAACCTGAGACTTTTACTGATTTCATTGACCAAATCCAGGAGTGTTTATGGTTTTCCAAGCTAAAAGATTATGTCTTGGGCAAACAGATAGTTTGACTTTCTCTTTTCCAATTTGGACGACCTTTATTTCTTTCTCTTGACTGATTGCTCTGGCTAGGACTTCCCAGTTTCATTCTAAATATGCATGAAATAAAAAGTAAAATGGAAAGTAATCGATGATTAGTTTATTCCTCATCTTTCCTGTGCAGATAAAATTAATTCCAAATTCAATGTTGAAACTATCCTTTACTTTTAAATTAAATATTAGATCCTGTCTTGTTCCAAAAGGGATTTAAACATTGTATATAAAATGCATAAGAATCAAGAAGATAAGTGGAAAGTGTTACCAAAAAGAGAGACATAAAAAGTATGGAGGTAACAGTTATTAAACAGCTTAGCCTAGTCTTGGATTATAGTAGTCTGAAGATACATGTTGTGTGAATGACATCTGAAGGTGTTATCTTACACTGTAAATCATTTTTAGGGCTATACATACAATATTTCACAAAGATGAAAATGTATTTCTAGTGAATTTCTAAACTTGTTTGTAAATAGTAACTTCTTTTAAATTAGCTAACTCTAAATGATCTATTCTAATTAACTAATTTTAAATTTGCATAACATGAAAAACAAGTAACTTTCAACTTGTAACTTTACTGAAAAATTTCAAATATGCTCTTCTCAGATTTACTAGTAACAGAAACTTACCAGTTAACAGAATGTTTCTTTCCTCACTACTTCTCAAATATGTATGTCCCTTGGAAGAGAGTGAAGTGAGAAATTAAAAATACGAGAACTAGAAAGGAAACAAGAACATAGGAGTTTTTATCAGGATTGTAAACCCACATGGAAGAGCCAGATGACAAAATAAACTTTTTTATTTTCTAAGCAAACACATTTTAATATCCATATTTAACTTCAGACTTGCCTTAAGACAAGAAAAAGAGAAGAAAGAAAATGGCGATACATTGTGTAATAAAGTCAGTGAACAGTTAAGAATAAAAGAAGAGGAATGTAGGAAAAAGGCTGAAATGACGCAGCAACTTAAATGGACTCTGAGAAAACTCATTAAGGAACTGAGGATGGTAAGAAAGAACTTGGATCTGGTAAATTAATCTTTGGTGAAAACTTCATATTTCTAACTTTATGCTTCATCAGTATTGCTTATACTTTTTTTGGCTTTGTGTATATCATTTAGGTTTAAAACAAACCAAAACTGTTATCTCCTCTTAAAAATGAACTATGACATTTATAGCTAAAAGTATTTATTGTAAACCTTGGCACCTAAATAGATGCTCAGTCTATGTTTTCAGAATGGAAGATGAGTTTAATCACTGAATGAGTTTACACATTTTTATGTTAAAAAACAGGCTAAATAGCTTTGAAACTATAGTGACACTAGTTAAATGTTTTGAAAGAAATTTTATTTTACAATGCTGTATCTTCCCATATTTAAGAACTGTTTTTCCTCTTTGACAAATTTAACTGTCATGTATGCAATTAAGATTTGAGTGATTCTTGAGGGATAAAAGTTCTTGTGTTTTAACAGGCTGCTTACTTTTAACCATTTTATAAGAGAGGCTCTGCTCTTTTTTTCTTTTTTCTTTTTCTTTTTTTTAGACGGAGTTTCACTATGTTACCCAGGCTGCAGTGCAGTGGTGCGATCTTGGCTCACTGTAACCTCTGCCTCCTGGGTTCAAGCGATTCTCCTGCCTCAGCCTCCCAAGTAGCTGGGACTACAGGCACGCGCCACTATGCCTAATGCCTAAATTTGTATTTTTAGTAGAGACGAGGTTTCACCATGTTGGCCAGGATGGTCTCCATCTCCTGACCTGTGATCCGCCGACCTCGGCCTCCCAAAGTGCTGGGATTACAGGCGTGAGCCACCATGCTCAACCAATAGAGGCTCTGCTCTTAATTAACCTTTCAGTCTTTTTTTTTTCAGTGCTATTAGACAAACACCTCCATGTTATCTCTAGGTCGAACAGCAGCGAAACAATGCCCAGCAGCAACTTTCCGAAGAACAGAATGCCAGAATATTACGAGATCAGATTCTGACCAGTAAACAAAAGGAGCCAGAAATGGCTCAAAAGAAAATGGATTCTGAGGTATTTTCTTTAGCCATTTTCAAATATGTTTTTGTATGTGAGTATATATTTTAAAAACAACTCTATGCAACTTGGAATTCTAATGGATTTTTGAACCCCACACACACACACACACACATTTGGGGGTGGTGACAGTGGTTCTGGAATTTTTGGCCCATTGTATAACGTCATTTTCTTAATTCAACCTCATTTGTGTGCAAGGGTCAAGTAGTGACTTTCACAGTGGCCTTATCCAAAGGAGAAACATTTGTTATTATTCATAGGAATTAATGATCTTTCCACAATCTCAAAACCCTTGCTAACAACAGACATTCCAGCTTTCAGACATGATTTCACCTTTCTAATATATTAATGGAGAGGTTAGATTATTATTTCTACTGGTAGTAAGGATGAAATGTATAGCCAGTTCAGAGGCCATACTTCAGATGCCATACCCCTTACTTTTGGGGACATAACAGTTTACTCCAAGTAGCATCTCATTTCAGCACAAAGAGATTTGAAAACAACGATATGCCATAAGAGAAACTTAGTGATGATTTGTTGATAACTGTTTTGTTCTTAGAAAAGTACTTCAGTGTATTTTCCCGTTTCATGCTTATTTCTGTTTCAAACACTGTAAAGAGGAAACAGAATTACTACAATAGCAAATAATCTCATGATTTTTCAGAGAAAAGCTCTATAACTTCTTTTTTACCACTGGTGTTTTGAAATAAAAAGCTTATTTTATATTTACATATTAACAACACAGAAGTAACCATGATTTGGTGGACGAGCACTAGAAGTAAAGTAAGAGGACCTGGGGAAATTCCTGCAGCTTGCATATTTTTTGACCTCTCCTTTCAGAATTATGACATAAATGAGCTCAGTGATGTATGTGGAAGTGCTTGGTACAAGGCCAGGTGCAGTGGCTCACGCCTGTAATCCCATCGCTTTGGGAGGCCGAGGTGGGTGGGTCACTTGAGCCCAGCAGCTCCAGAACAGCCTGGGCAACATGGCAAAACCCTATCTCTACAAAAATTACAAATAAATTTAGCTGGGTGTGGGGATGTGCACCTCTAGTTTCATCTACTCAGGAGGCTGAAGTGGGAGGATCACCTGAGCCCAGGAGGCCAAGCCTGCAGTGAGATTTGATTGTGCCACTGCCCTCTAACCTGAGTGATGGAGTGAGACCCTGTCTCAAAAAAAAAAAAAAAAGCAACTAATATAATGCTTAGATTTAGCATTTGTGAATAAATGTAATTCTTATATAACTGACAATAAAAATGGTAGAAAAATAAAATAGCTACAGACTATTCTCAGGAAAAAAAAGAACTTAAGGAACATTGGGAAATTTCCTCCGTCTGTTGTGGAAATTCAAGCCGAGAGGAAGAGAGAGACGAAGAGACACAAGAGAACCTCTTTATTGGAGCTCCAGCTGACAGTGGCCTTACTGCCTGTAATGGCTGCCAGCCCCGCACAAAGGAAAATTCCTTGCTTGTGTTAGTTTTGGCATGGGAAGATAAGGCAGGAGAAAAAGTAGGTTTTTTTTTGTTTTTTTTTTTTTTTTTTTTTTTTTTTTTTTTTTTTGAGACGGAGTTTCACTCATGTTACCCAGGCTGGAGTGCAATGGCACAATCTCGGCTCACCGCAACCTCCGCCTCCTGGGTTCAGGCAATTCTCCTGCCTCAGCCTCCTGAGTAGCTGGGATTACAGGCACCCACCACCATGCCCAGCTAATTTTTTGTATTTTTAGTAGAGACGGGGTTTCACCATGTTGACCAGGATGGTCTCGATCTCTTGACCTTGTGATCCACCCGCCTCGGCCTCCCAAAGTGCTGGGATTACAGGCTTGAGCCACCGCGCCCGGCCCGAAAAAGTAGGTTTAAACAGAGTTAGTCATTGACTTGCAACAAGTTTACAACCTTGAGAATACGTATATTTTCTATGCGGTTATCTCGCTCCCATGGCTGTCTCACTCCCGCGGCTGGTAGCTGGGGAAGAGAACAGGTTTTTTGTTTTTTGTTTTTTGTTTTTTATTTTGCAGAAATATGCATGTGAGCTGTGGGTGCAAAGATATGCTTGGGTGCCTTATCTTGGAAGGAGGAGGCTATGCTGGGTCTCCGTTAGCTAACTTCAGGCAATTTAGGCTGGAAGGGGTGGTTTATTTGCTCCTCTGCTCTTTATAACTGTTTTTGTGGCCTAGTCTTAAGCTTATTATTTATTTTAAATTAATGTCTTTTTATACATTTCACTTTTCCTCCTCATGTCCAGATACATGCAAAACTATAGCTTTTACTATGGTGTGGTGTATAGGTTAGATGTCAGAGTGTAAAGCCAATTTTTTTTTTTTTTTTTTGAGATGAAGTCTTGCTCTGTCTCCCAGGCTGGAGTGCAGTGGCACAATCTTGGGTCACTCTAACCTCTGTCTCCTAGGTTCAAGTGATTCTCCTGCCTCAGCCTCCTGATTAGCTGGGATTACAGGTACCCACCACCATGCCCAGCTAATTTTTGTATTATTAGTAGAGACGGGGTTTCACCATGTTGGCCAGACTGGTCTTGAACTCCTGACCTCATGATCTACCGCCTCCACCTCCCAAAGTGCTGGGATTACAGGCATGAGCCATTGCACCCAGCCATAAAGCCCATTTTTTTAATGTAGCCAAATTTATTAATCTTTTATTTTATGCCTTTGAATTGGTTGTAATTTGGAGGTCTTTTCCAATTCTGAGATGCTTAAAATTCTCTAGTCATTTATATTTTACATTCATGAATTCACTGTCTTCAGGCAAACTTATAAAGTTTTGGGAATTTAAGCTCTATGATGTTTGAAGTTTCAATCCAATATTTTTTTTCAGATGAATATCCACTTATGGAAGTCTTTTCATTGTATACATGTACAGGTTATTTAATTTCAGAGGAAGTCATGATATGTCATTTTACTGAGTGCTACTAAATGTTTCCTTTCTTACTTAGATTTCTCATAGGCATAAGAAAGAAAAGGATCTCTTGTATGAAAATTGCATGTTGCAGGAAGAAATTGCCTTGCTGAGACTGGAAATAGATATATTAACAAATCAGAACCAGCAAAAGGAGAAGAAATATTTTGAGAACATTGAAGTTGTGAAAGAAAATAATGATAACCTTCAAAAAATTATTAAACTAAATGAGGAAACATTAACAAAAACAATAGTTCAGTACAGTGGACAACTGAACGATTTGGCAGCTGAGAACAAAATACTCAATTCTGAACTGGAGAATGAAAAACAAAACCAAGAAAGACTGGAAATAGAAATGGAATCATACCGTTGTAGACTGGCTGCTGCCCTACGTGACTGTGATCAAAGTCAGACACAAAGAGACCTAAACCTTCATTTCCAGAGAATAAGACAAGAGTGGATTGATTTACAGGACAAAATGAAGGCTGATATGTCTGACCTACAAGCTACGAATGAGATTCTTTCTGAAAAACTTTCTAATGTTGAAAATAAAATCAACAGCCTACAAATTCAGCTCCGTAACACAAGAGATGCTGTTGAAGAAAAGAATTTGATTTTGGAAGGTGTGCAAAGAGACCTCAGACAAACACAGTGTCAGAAGAAAGAAATTGAACAAATGTACCAAACTGAACAAAGCAAACTGAAGAAATCCATTGCAAAGCTGGAATCTGTAGAGGAGAGATTATTTCAACTACAAAATGAAAATACGTTGCTTCGACAGCAACTGGATGATACTCACAAGAAAGTGAACAGACCAGAAAAGACAATCAGTACTCTCCATGACCAGCTTCAGGCTGTTGCCAGAAATCTTCGAGCTGAGAGTGAAAAGCAGAGTCTTCCACTACAAGAGAAGAACAAGGAATTCCTGGATGAATGTTATTATTTTAAAAAAATAATGGATCAGTGTGAGAAAGAGAAACCAGGAAGAAAAGTAAGTATTAAGAAAGATAAATATTTTTCAACCTTCCTAAAAGAAAATTTAAAGTAATATTTGATTATAGCTAAATGTTTTATCTAGCTGAATATAAAAATATATAGATCATAAATGTATTTGCTGTTAAAACTGAAAGATACTTTACTTTGAGTAAAGAAATTAGGTCACCTATGAAATTTTAAGCTCAGTTACAGTGTTAACAGATACAGATTAACATTTATAATGTAGTCTTATGCTGCTGAAATGATCATGGCAATGCCTTTATATGGCCATGTTTGAAGACCATGATGAAGCAGATAAACAGAAATGCTTATACCTGACATGAGTATTTTGAAATTAAGATTCAGTTAGGAGGGTTACTTTGACCATTAATTCTAGATTTTCCAGGTGAACTGAAGTATACTGCTGTACTTCAGTGTATATTTTCACAATACTTTTCCTTCAGTAGTTTTGTAATGTATTTAAGTTGGTATAATTTTATTTTTATTCATATCAATTTGACTTAAATCTGAGATTATTTCAGTCTCAAATTACTTGTTATGACCTCTCAATTCTTTAAAGGCATTTACTTTTTCATAAATCATAATTTGGGGCAGATGTGAATTTCAGCAAAGCTATGTTAGATTTAATCTTACCACTGGTATTTATAATTTACTTTGAATGTTTTTACAAACAATTTGCTCATAATTTTCATTTCAAGGCTCACTGCCTGTCATTCGGATATAACTTTGACCAGTACAAAGGTAACTGGGTTTATCTGTGATTTGTTTGGCATTGAGTCCCCATTTTTAGACTAATGAGAGGTGGCAGGATTCCCATATAGCGAGAATGGGCTGAGTAGGGGAGACCCTTGTAGAAGCTGAGGTCAGGAGGGAGGTAAAGGCCAGGTTACCCAGGGCCTCAAAGGCCATTGGAATTTTACTTGTATTCTGAGATAGGAATCTTTTGGAAGGATCTGAGCAGGCAGCTGAATATGCAAGGAACTCTGAAGTTGATTGGAGCTTCAAATAAAAAAGAGGGAAAACATGTCACAGTGTGGGATGTACCACCAGCAGCCCCACCCACATACCGATTTCTTTTTGAGACTTCAGTAGGTTGTTAAGCATTGCACATGTTTCAGGGATGAGTGAACAGTGGGCTGAATCTATTGTCTAAGTTAACAGAAAACTGATTTGGCAGAAAGATAGCACCTTCTGTGTCCTTAACTGAACTCAGTAATAAACAAGAACGTGTGCACACGAGGAAAAGGTGCATCCATATATGTGTTGATGTTTTTCAAAGTGTATGTGTTAGAGTTAAATCTTATTACCATAATTTAATAATAAGGTGATTTATAAAATCAGTAGCAAAAATACTTTCACAGGTAGTTATGAGACAACTCAAACTAGAATGGACTGATCCCCTAAAACAACAACCAACAGCAGAGGCTACATCATTTAATTTAGTTGAGACACAGGATTCAAAGAACAAATCGGGTCAAATCAGCAGTGAAGTATGTATAAAACCTAACATGTCTACAGCTAATCTATAGGTGGTGAAATAGTGTCAAATGTTTTAGGATACTAATTGAAGTGGATAGCTTTCTTTTGTATTTTTATCATAATTTGTTTTATAATTTTATTATCTTTATAATGCACTTGTTTCTTAATCTCTGGCTTTCATTCTGTCCTTTTCTCCTGATAAGTACATACATCATTTCCAAAGATCCTTAGGAAAGTTGGGAATTATTAGTATTCCTCACAGAAGTTGAGAGGCTTTTTTTTTTTTTCTGTGAAGTATTTTTTAGTGATTTCTCTATTGCCATGGTTAGGCAAGCCAGATTAAATCATAGGATAATGTTTAACAGAATGTTTCAGAAATTGTCTTATTTCTTATCTTTACTTTTGTGAATGGGTACAGAATCTGTGTATATTTATTTCATGAATTTCAGGATAACTTGTACAGAAAGGCCACAGTACTGTTCTCCAAAATGCAAATATTTTAATTTAAAAACTATTTGAAATGTTAGGCACCTCCTTCATTTTCCTTTCATTTTAAATATATTGTGCTTTTTTACAAATCACCTATAGTATGTACATCCAAAGTAGAGAATTCAGAGATGTATCTAGATCCTACTACTGCATTTTTTTTTTTTTTTTTTTTTTTTTTAGACGGAGTTTCACT